GACGTCAATCACAATATAAAATTAATAAAAATATTAAATATTAATAAAAATGTAAAAAATTAATTTAAAATGTAAAAAATTAATTTAAAAAATCCAAAAAAAAATTAAAAATTGATTTAATTTTTCTATAAATATGTTATCATATCTTCCAACTTACACCATAATTTTATATTTTCTCAAATACTTTGGGTTGTAATTTCTTATTTAATGACACGTGGTACAAAGAGACTGATTAAAAATTATATCCAAAATTAAAAATAAAATTATTTTCTATTATTTTATAAAATAAAAAATGCTAATATTTTATTGCCTATTGCCAGGGCTATTCAGTATAATGATGCAGATGCAAAAGACAGTTATTGTTCATTGAAGGCTATTCAATAATGACTTGCCGTAAGTGCCCATTGCAACGATGAAGTTGCTCATAGATAGTATCGCCTGTAACAAGGTCGGCCTTGGCTTGAAGTCAAACCACCACCAAACTATGAGTAAGATGTATTTTGTTCACTTAGCCAAAGAAAAGGAATAAAACAAACATTCAAGAGAAAGGAGAATGAAATTTGGGTTTTTAAAACAAATTTGACCCTCAAAATAAAGAGTTAATTAGAAGTTTGTAGCTTAAGTTAGATCAATTTTTTCTTTCCCACGATGCTTATATGTAAAAAATGAGTTAACGTTACTTGTTTCAGCGTTGAATGTTGACATAGATGATGCTTCTTCTTTTCGTGACATTGAAATTTATTTTTTACCTTGTTTGAACTTTATACCTCATTATAGATGACCAAAACAATCGCTAACTTTATTAATTTTTTTTGCATAAATAAACATCAAATGATGATTGAAAAAAATTAACCATATTGTTTGCCAAAATTGTAAACACCCAATTATTAAGATGATTGTAACCACCTTGTTGCTTGCCAAAAATCATTTCTTCAAATAGGAAAATATTGGTGTATTCAATTGAGAATTTGAGAGATTTTAATGAATTTGTAAATTCATGGATTTTTATAAAGTTTAATTGATTTGTAGAAAATTCATATAAGATTTGAGTTTTTATCACAAATGGTTCCTGAAATTCTCTCAAAATCTTATAAGGAGATGTGAGATTTATGGATGCTTAAAATACATTATGAAATCTCTTCAATTCTCTTTAATTCCCCAACTTTCTCAAATTCTTTAAAACCAATTTCTAATTGAATACACCTAGAATGTTATAAACTTCTTTAAAATCTTAATTGAATACACTCGAATTTCAAAAAAATTTAATAAACAATCTTAAAATTATAATTGAATACACTTTAAATTCATTAAAACAATTAAAACCCCTTTAAATCTCAATTGAATACACCCTTCATCTCTAAACAATTAATAAACCAAACTCAGGAAATTTCCTTCACTTGGACAAACACTCAATAAAATGTAGTTGTCGTTTATGGTACCCCCCGGAAACAGAGGTAGTTAATTGGGGTGGTTTTCCGCTCATCTACTTCATCCAACATTTCCTCTCTACCAGTTTCAGACGCTTCCATAAATTTAGTCCCACCGTTCACTCCCTGCTAACCCCTTCTTCCTCACGCCACTCCCTCCTCTCTCCCCACTCTAATTCCAAAAACCCAAATCTCAGAATTCAAGAATTCAGATCCACAGCAAGAAACAGACATGGGTTCCTGCTTACTCGAGCACCTCAAGGCTCAGCCTTTCTGGGTTCTTGTGCTCTTCACTCTCGGCTCTTTCTCTCTCCTCAAACTCTCTCTCTCTTTCCTCCAATGGGTCTACGTCAATTTCCTTAGACCTGCCAAGAATCTCAAAAAGTACGGATCTTGGGCACTCGTCACCGGACCCACCGATGGCATTGGCAAGGCCTTCGCCTTCCAACTGGCTCGGAAGGGGCTCAATCTGATCTTGGTAGGTCGGAATCCGGACAAACTCAAGGACGTCTCGGACGCCGTCCTGGCCAAGTACGGCAAAACCCAGATCAAGACCGTCGTGGTCGACTTCACCGGCGACCTCGACGACGGCGTCAGGCGCATTCGGGAGACGATTGAAGGGTTGGATGTGGGACTTTTGATTAACAACGTTGGGATTTCGTACCCGTATGCTCGGTTCTTTCATGAGGTGGATTCGGAGCTGCTGAGGAACTTGATTAAGGTTAATGTCGAAGGTACTACGAAGGTTACTCAGGCTGTTTTGCCGGGGATGGTGCAGAGGAAGAGAGGTGCTATTGTGAACATTGGTTCGGGTGCTGCGATTGTTATCCCCTCGGATCCTCTGTATGCTGTTTATGCAGCTACAAAAGCGTGAGTATATTACACCTACTATTTCACTTCTTGTTTTTATTTTATTTTTATACAAGCAATATTGGAGGAGGGGGAATCGAATTCGGAGTTCTGAGTTCGGGTTTAGAATGCTCTTGACTAATTGAGCTACGAGCCCCCTTGCGTGCATAATTTTTTGTGTATTCTTTTATCTGGGATCCGTTTGTGCTTATTGTTGTAATTGTTTTTCAGGTATATTGATCAGTTCTCTAGGTGCCTGTACGTTGAATACAAGAAAAGTGGGATTGACGTGCAGTGCCAGGTACTGTTTCTGTGATTTTTTTTTTTACTTATCGTGATAGCTAACTCAGTTGGTTTGGTTTTCGCGTTTTGCGGGTAATTGATCAACGATTTGTTTGGCAAATAGAAAATATTCATTTGATCCATAACTTTGATATTAAGTAAATTGTAAGTAATTGAAGCCAACTCTCAAATGATAAAAAGTAAACCTATAGAAAGGTGGTGCGTTGTGTATATCTTTATGCAGTGAAACAAAAAGTGGCTCTGGCTTTACAATTACTTTGAAATTATCAGAATCTTTTCCCCTGCTGCATATACCATAGTAGTTATATGTTGGCGTTTAAGTAGCTTCGATCGTTTATCTGGTTTCCTTTTTAGAGTCCATGAGTACATCACAATGGTCGTCATGTATTACCTGATTGTATCACAGGTTGATGTATATGGGAACTGTAAAAACTACCGTTGAGATGTGATCGGCAATGAAACTGATGTCAACACAAATTAAAATTGGACCAACTGGTGCAGATTTGAATGGAAATTGAAGATCTCTGAATGTGAAGGGCAGTCAGTGAGGATGTCAGTAGCAATAGTTGAAATGAGTCTTAAGAGTCTTGTGCATCATGCTTCCTGCCTTTCTAATTTTGAACGCTACCCTGTCCGGCTTCTGATTTTAAGCGTAAACTTTGCGGTTGAGTGATATGTTGCATTAGGAAATGGCAATTAAACGTGTCCTAGACTACATTCAAAATTATTAAATGGTATCTAATACATGGAGGGTGAGAGCACTGAGAAGAACCCTTATATCCTGACTCTTCGTATGCATATTGCCATAGTTTGGCAACTTATCTGTTGAGCATTGGATGCTTGCCACTAGGGAGTAGGGATGATTGTTAGTATCGACTTTGCTTCGAGTTGTTTCCATTATAAACTAAGGAGTTTCTCTTTGCAGGTGCCATTGTACGTGGCAACAAAGATGGCATCTATCAGGAGGTCTTCCTTCTTTGTACCATCAACTGACGGTTATGCCCGGGCAGCTCTGCGCTGGATAGGCTATGAGCCTCGTTGCACTCCTTACTGGCCGCACACACTTCTTTGGGGTTTGGCATGCTCATTGCCGGAGTCTGTTGTTGACGCATGGCGTCTGAGATTTTGCCTGAGGATTCGGAAGAGAGGACAGCAGAAAGATTCTTCCCTGAAGCAGGCATAGATGACCGAACGCTACTGTTACGTTATTCAGATGCGTTGTTGGGTAGGTCATGCCAGTTTGGTTTAGCGGATTAGGACTTCGGAAATCTGATTGTATGCTTGGACTTCATTTTCTGTTGTATGTTTTGAAATTCCATGGTCGTTGTTGATTGGTGATCAACTGTTTTCTTTCCTGTTAATGCCTTGAACTGCTCTCTAGTGAAATAGCCACATTGTTTGAAGATCCATTACTTCAAGGGAAATTTAACGAAAGGCTCTCAGTACGGTTTACTTTAAAGAAAAATCACATTTTTACTCCAAAAGTCAATCCTGGTACTATTCACTTCCAACACCTTTTTGTCATTTTCGTTAAAACTCAAAGTTTTCAATCTGTTTTCATTAGTTTTCCTTTAATTCAATTGGACTGACAAGAACAAACTAATTGAAGCAACTTGCTTACGGGCGCAACTTGGATAGGAATATCCGATTCTAATCTCTTTGTTTGTACGAGGCTAGGTTGCGATATGGGTTTATAATTCTCCATTTTATTCTCATAAAAAAAATTGTCAGCTTGGTACTATTGTTTGACTGGTATTCCTTATCACTTATACATGGGAATATGAATCGAAACATCTCTCGATTGGGTCTCAACTTGGAATTATTACCTCACACCCATTCTATATTTTCTCCCTAGTTGATTATAGGCATAATTCAAATAATCAATGCAGCTTCATATCCAGTTGTGCCCGGTTTCGGTGTAGTAGTTATATCTTGATTCATCCCTTTTTTTTTCCAGGGGTTTTATAATTGGACATTGAACCCATTTCATACGCTATACTAGCTTATGCTTAAAACAAATTGAAGGGATAAAAAGAAAATACAAACATGTGTCCTGTGTGACGATATATAGTAGTGGGAGATTATGGGACGAAAGGTCATCATTCTCTTTGATTTGCACAACCAAAAAATTATTCAAAGGATGTACAAGAAGATCAAAAAAATACAAGATTGTATAAAAAATCATGTGCAAAATAATATGAAAAATATAATGCAGAGGGAATTGCATGTATAGAGATAAAAAAAGAATCGATAATACAAATTCTTCGTTTCTTGGTCCGTTGTTGTAATAAAACAAATTAAGTAGAGAAATAAAAAATCAAGCCCATAAGTGAGCGGAAAGTGTCATTGGGCCTGAAGCACATTATCTCAGGCCCGTAAACATTTACCCGCCCTTCACATACGCCTTGAGCGCATTACGCACCTTCCTGTTAATATACAGAGACCGACTGTTGCCGCCATTGAAATACCTCCGAAGAAAAATTGGTATGTGGGTTTCCTGTGTTTTTATTTTTAAGTCATAGGAAGTTACCAGGTCGATCAATGAGGAAGGAAAACTTGACTTTGGTCTCCCATACGACGGAGGCCACGGTGTTCGTCGACACCAGCCTCGGCACCCACATCGCCGTCACCATCGACCCCAACGACACCGTTTCTGCACTCAAACGTAATATTATCCCATCCCTTCTCTTTTAGTATTCAGTCTGATACTGTTTTTTACCTCCCATTCAAAAATTTTAATCGCTTTTATTGTTTTTCTGGGTAAAGAATGCTGCTTTGAATAATTATTACCAAATTGGAAATTTTGGGTGTTAATATTTATGAATTTACAATTTGTTCAGCTCCAAATACCCAATAAATGCATTGTTTTCGGCCTTTGAAGAGTCTTAGAAATCACAAGGCAGCTCGAGTGGTTAAGAGCGTTTATCTTGCAAACAAGGTCATGAGTTCGAATCCCCTATCCCGTAAATAATGCTTGTACAAAAGAAAAAACTGATCTTATAAAGCTATAGGAAGATGCTTTATATCACAACTTTTCGTATGATTGAAGGAGTTGGTGTTTCTGATCATTGATGTGATTCACTTAACATCTACATTGTTCCATTAGTTATCATCCTTCCACTATTTTTACCATGAATACTCGAAATTTGCATTTTTATGTTCTGTGAATGCCTTCAATTTGCAGAGAAAATAGAACATGAACATCTATTGTGCTTTACTAGGGCGGGAAAAATCGAAGTTGAAGCTCTAAAGGTTTGTTTTTTTCTTAGTGAACTGTTAATTTACTTTTGCTGAAATATAGCCTTGGTATTGAGGATGATTTGTATGCCTGGTAGGTAAAACGCAAAGGATTCTTTTATCACCTATCAGATTCCATGGTTGTTAGAAATGCTTTCAGGGTCAACAATAACTGGTTTGTTTCTGCCGATGCTAAAGATGTTCCGGGGAAAAGATTGTCCAATTTTAATGATTCAATGCCATTGCTACTTGAGGGGAACAAGCGTGCAGAAGAGAAATTTAATATTGCTGACCGGGCTGGTTCAGTTGGTTCTGCTAGAGAAACTTCAAAACAATTGGAGATAGGGTTCAAGAGTTCTGGTATTGATCATTGTGCAACTTCATTTGATGAGACGGCCAATCAGCTGGAACCTGAAATACAGGAGGACCACAGCCTACATAGCGAGGGGTACAGAGTTCCCAAAACACAAGATTGCAGGGCAGATGGCTCGAGGAAAGAAATTGATGTCCAATGCGACGTCTCTTCGGAAAAAGCTTTGCCTGCTGAAAAGAAAAGACAACGCAAGACTAAGCAGAGAAAAGAAAAACCAGTGCAGTTAAAAGAAGACGGTGCTTCAGTTCTTGGATTTGGTAAAGAACAGTCGCAGCCAGATAATATACCACCTGAAAATTCATTAGGCAATCAGAGTAGAGATGTTCTATGTGACGTGACTTTTGGAAAGAAAACTACTACCAGTAAAGATGTTTCACAGGATATGGCAGCTGGAAACAAAAACACTACAGAAGAACCTTGCGGGAGTTCAGCTTCTAGTATGGATAACAGGTCACATTCTGGAATTCATATGACAAATGATGCGTACAAGGGCACTGAAGTTCTTGGAAAACACATCGGGAGCAGGGAGAATACATCTAAGCATGGCAGTTTTGTGGTCTCCAATATAGCAGTGGAAGATGCTTCACAATCTCAGCCTGCTGCAAAGAAAAAGCGGAGGTTTGAAAACATATCTGGTCTTGAGGATTCGCTGAAAGAAAATGATAAAGTGACTTCCAAGCCAGAGATTGCATCTGAATTCTCTTTAAGGGACACACAGAAAAATGCAAGTGCTATCTTATATGGTTCAACTGCCGAATCTTCGGAGAAGAAGAAGAAAAAGAGAAAAATTTCACCAAATTCTCTTCATGAAGTAGTTGCTGCAGCTCCTTCCGGAAGAGATGTTTTACAAGAGAGATCTGCTGTTGCTGCTTCAGGAAGTAATGATAAAAATTCAGGTGTAGAAGACAATGCTGCTGCTATTAATGAACAAGGTATACAAGCTTTAATGCCACCTAAACTCAATGGAATCTCTCAGAAGGGAAATCACTGTGCTCATGTCCAAGAGTTGCGGGAAAATTCTGGATTACCCTCATCACTGGGTAAGTTTCGTTTGCTCTATTGATATGTGATCAGTTATAGATTTTTTTTATTCCCTTGAATCCTTTCTAACTTAGATTTTCAAGAATTTAACTAATCTAGATGGAAAAGGGGTCTTTTGTCTAAGATTACTGCTCTTTCTTTTATAGATGTTAATAATACTGCCAATGTGGAAAACAAAAGTGGTGAGGCTGAAGAAGGATTGGACAACCGTCCTTCCTCTGTTTTCAAAGTTCCCAGTGAAGGTGTAATTGATTGCGTAGAAAGAGTTGGAGAGGAGAGAGAATCATTACAGAGAAAGGATTCTGAATTGGTGACGTCTGAAAAGACACAGTTGCCTGGTCAGGATAAGAGAGATAGGAATGATACAAAAGTAATTGTGAAATCTGAATGGTTCGATGCAAATGGAATGGTCACCCCTAATAACACTAGTAAGAAGAAAAAGAAGACCAGAAAAACCAAGGGATCCATAGGAGAAACTTCGGTTGAATCAGGTGCAGGACACATTAAAGGTTCTGAGAATGGAATTTCGTTGGATGAACCTCGTGAAGCTGTACATGGTGAACATGCTAGTGATAAAGCTAAGGAGGAGGCAAGTAATGTTTCTAAGAAAAATGGGATAGACGTATTAGAAAAAGAAACGGAGAGTTCTCATATCGTTGCGAAAACTGGTAGCCTTGATCTCAGTGAGGTGGGGAACCTGGAGCAAAATGGCAAACCTCAAGAAAATGCAGAAGGTATGGAGCAGAACATCAAAAAGAAATCTAAGAGGAAAAAGAGTACCATGACAAAAGAAATCCCGAATTTGAAAGCTGAAGCGCAAAAAGTTGGTCACCAGGTTCCAACACCGACAACTGATATGTTGGACAAAACAAGTCCCATTGAACAATCAAATGGGAAAGCTGTGGAATCTGATAAGGGCTATGGCATGGAAACTGATTCGGTCCCTGCTCGGTCAAAATCCAAGCGTATTGACCCTACTAAAGCTCCTTCTCATGCACTAGAACACACTAGCATAAGTTTTGGGAACCCTCCTGAAAATGGATGCTCTAATGAGGCTGATAAGAACATGGAAGTTTCTTGTGAAGGCAATAAGGACAACTTTGACAACCATCAGGTGCCTGGCCTAGGCCAGCATGAAGTTGCCACCTCTAAAGAAGTGCACGCCGAGGTAACTAGAACAAACAGAGCAGATGATAAACCAAAAACGAAGCGAAGGAAGCTTGATGTACAAAGTGGTCCCTCGCCTGATCTGCAAAGTTCGCTCAAGTCTAAGAAGAACCAAGGGATCAATGGAAGGTCTGAAGCTGGCAACTCTAACTCCATACAGCCGCAAGGATCATCATCCAAGGGTGACGATGGAAAAGGGTTTTCGAAGAAAGTTCCTAAAACTGGGACCAAAGCCCCAACACCGGATAAGTCTGATAAGATGAATTCCATTTCTAAAGCAGCCCGAACTCACAGTGGTGCTAACGTTTCTGGTATTGATGGTACTCGTATAGGGAAAAAGAATGATTCTTCAGCTGTACTGAATTCTAAATTGGAAAAAGCAAACAATAAACCTCACCAAAATAAAATGGATAACAAGTCTCAGTCAGGTGTGAACCGAAATCGTGTGGCCAGTGGAAAACCTTATGGTATCGATTATGGGGAAGTTGTAAACAGCCCAGAAAAGAGGAAGATCTTAGCTACGCCAAGGAAAATTTTCAAGGATGATGACAGTAGTGGGAGTTCTGAAGATGAAGGTAAAGATGAACTTTCAAAGGCCAGCACCCAAACTCCATCAGATTATTCGTCGTCTGGCTACTCAGATGGGGAAAGCAATGCAGATATGAGCACACCAAGAAGCGGTAAGTTAAAAAGAATTCATGTCTTGAATATTTATACCCACCGCAGTTTTCATGATTTCATTATCCGATACATTGCATTTTCCACAGGAAAGGCTGGTGAGAGAAGCGTCATAAAATCCTGGTACGTTTGTTAGCAGCCATGCCTCTTTAACAACTTTGTACCTTTCATCTAATTCGCTTGTTCTGTCGCTCGTAAGAAGATTTGTTTTTTCTTTTCTCCCTAAGAAAAAACCGGAATTGTAATGGGGATCAATCTGTCGCTAAGAACCACGGAGCATTGTTACTTTTATATTGATATCTTCCTTCTCATCAATATCTGAGGCCCTTCATGTATTGTTTCATCGTGGAGCAGCACTTCCGGCATAAAGGACATGAATTGGGATGAATTGGCCAAAAGTTCAAGCACATTCAAGAAGGCAAAACTTACAGCGTCTCAGTCACAACTGGAGGAGGACAGCGAACCCATTGAACCCGTACCCGACAGTCAGCCTGTATCATAGTCATTGAACCGTCGCCAATGTTTTCGCATTCTCTCCGAGGCCTTGAGATTATTTTGTTTTCTGTTTTTACGTTTAGTTTGTCTCCCCTCCTTTGGAACCCTTTCAGCTGCATCGTATCTGTGCAGCAGTTTTGTCACGAATCAAAAGGGTCTTAGTGCGTGTAGAATCTGTAGATTGCTTCCTTTTTCGCCCCCTTTTTTTCCCGCCATGTAGTAACCTTATTTGACTGTATAATTAAGGCATGTTTATGGATTATTTAAGGTTGCAATTAAAGTGGATTTTGTAGGACGATTTTGTCGCGGAAAGAAGTAACATATTTTCAGTTTGCTAAGCGGATTAGCAGGCTAATAGAAGCTATTAATCTCCTATCTTTACGTTAATTTTTACTTTATGTTATGCAGCTAGTCAACAAAATCATGCATTGGGGCCACTGCAAATGCATTGTTTTAGTCGTTATGGAAATCATCGTCTAAAGTATAAATTTCGAATTAACCAAGTATTTTATTAACTTTTTAGGCTTAAAAATTCCAAATATTCCAAGCATGACGTAATCAGTATCTCTCACCATTCACATACCCACATTGGACAACTAATTTGATGTTTTGGTGTTTATTTTCAGCAATTACGTCATACATATAAATCAAAGACAAATAAAAGGATAAAAATAAATAAAGTATGCAAAGAGAAAGAGAAGGGCGATAATAGTCTCAAAAAAATATATACATAAACAGAATTACCGTCAAAATTATTATGTTCACATTCTAACTTTGGATTTGACTACTATATTTACATGTATTCACATTCTCAATTTTGGATTTGGCTACCATACGTACATGTATTTAATATACAATCACCATCTTAATTGTCAAATGGTAATTGTATTAATTACATATATTCACATATTTGACCTTTAGATGGTAAAGGTCGTACCCAGTGCACAAGGCTCCCGCTTTACGCAGGGTCTGGGAGAGGTGAATGTCGGCTAGCCTTACCCCCATTTATGGAGAGGCTGCTCCCAAGGACCTTTAGATGGTGATTATAAAAAATACATGTAGTCAATCCCGTCAATTTGTCGTCATTGATAAAACAAAATGACAACAAACTTACAATGTGAATAATAGAAATGCTAAGGAGACTATCTCAAAAGTCGGATTCTTCATCAACTCTCTGTCACATCCCAGACTCACCGTAGCAAGATATTGTCCGCTTTGGGCCACGCCCTCACGGATTTGTTCTTAGGCCTTAGCCCAAAACGCGTCTTGCAAGGAAGAGATGGGCATGTACATATAAGACCAGGGACCAACCCCTACCCTGCCGATGTGGGATCTTACACTCTCTGTCGTCCACAACGTTTTATAATTTTAGTACGAAAATTAACGTTAAACTGTGAGGTGTCAGAGTCTCCTTATCATTCTCATGAGAAAGAAGGATTATGTTTCTCTAATAGATATTAGATGGAAATCATTGCTCAAGCAAGAATGCATATACACAAATAATAACATGATTTGAATAAAAAATTTCCCATTAAACAAGAAATTATATTGCACATATTTGCAGAGTGACAATTGGTTTATATCAATCAACTGGGACCGTTGGATGGGCTGGGCTCCCCTTTTGCCGTTTCCGAAAAACCACCTCCGTGTTAGCACCAAAACCGTCAACCTCCTTGACATGAACCAACTTACTCCTCCGAAACATTGCCACCAACGGCTTCACACTATACAGATCATTCGCCGAGTACTTATCCGTCCGCCGCGAGATTGCCACGTGTAAAACGCAGACCCCGCCGGGCCTCAACGTCCGTTCGATCTCGGAAACGAACTTCCGCGGGTACAGAGCGTGGTCGAACACGTTCGAGAACTCGAAGTCGAAGGTGTCGTCGCCAAATGGCTGGTTGTGGAAGTCGCCCTTGACCACGAGCGGAGGGAACGGTACGAGGTCGATGCCGACGGAGTCGGACACCCCGACTCGCTTCAACGCCTCAACTTCCTGGCCGACTCTAGCCCCGATGCAGAGGGCCTTGGAGCCGTTGGTGAGGAGGTTCTGGCGCTTCATTTGTTGGAAGACTTGGGAGAAGACTTGGATTTTTCGGTCCCAGTCGCGGGTGGTCCATAACTGGCGGAGCCTAGGGTTGTTGGTTTTGTTGACCTGCCGCTCGAGGTAGGCTTCGTAGGAGGTGTAGCCTGGTCGGATTCGGATGTCTTCGCCGGATGAGGTATTGGTTTCTGTTTCTTGTTGGGATTCGGGTTGTATAACCGGGAGGATGTTATTGTGTGTAGTGACGACGGCGGTAGCGGCCGTCCTGTGGAGGTTGTGGGGTTGGAGACGGAGGACGAGAAGGAGAATGGGAAGAGTGAGGAGGAGGAGAGAGAGGAACAAGTATTTGAAAGTTGGAATGTTGTGTTTCATGTTATCTCTGCATGAGTTCCCCTCACTTTCTCTCTCTATATCTCTTTCTCTCTTTAAAGACCTCCGTCAGTTCTCTTCGGCTTGTGTCTTCTTCCTCCTATTCCTTGAACCCTATATTATATAGGCATCTATTTTGTATAAATTTGTTGGAGGGGGAAGGAGATGTATATATTTTCCAAGTTTCCAGCAACAAAAAGGAAAGAGATGTATTCGCTCAATCGTATTTGTTTCCTAGCTGAACTCCTCGTTTTAAAAGGGTAAATTGTAACTAAAACTAACGTCCCCTAAACTTACTCAAAAGAAAAACTCTAACTTCACATCAATTACGTTGCCAGATAGAAATTTTTTGTTTTGTTACCAGACTGCAAATTTTAACTATACAACGGAACCTATTTTTAGATTCGCAGTTTGATAATATAAATTACTAAACAAACAATTTAATAAGAAATTATTCTAATAATAAATATATTGGTAGTCAATTATATAATTCGGCAAAAAAAAAAATGATGAGACCAAGGTCCCAATGTACTAATGTAGCATGATTAAGGAGGAAGTCATTAGTCATATAATGGCATGTATTATATAATAAAGAATAAATTGACATGTATAAAAGTTAAAACATTGTAACCTTGTTAGCCAGTTAATTAATTAAAGCTATTTGAACATAACAGATGGATAGTGTAAATAGTTATATGATATTAAACTTCCTTCTTAGCTCTAAGACCTTTATTAAATGCCATGTCCTTATTTGCATGAATAAAAAAGAAAGAGTAATGTTAGAGAGATCATCTGTTTAAACCATATTTTTTGTAGATTACATAATGTGGCGAGTGATGGTTAGATTTAGGGACGGAGTTAGAAATTTCTTCTAATGGGGGCAATCCGAAAACAACTAACAAAACCTTATTATGGTATGACTTATACCTAATATGAAAATGAGGATGGTTTCAAATGATGATTCATCACAATTTCAATGTTACAAAAATTTATGTGTAGTAATAGAAAGTGGCAAAATGAAGAGAAAAATATTAATAAATGAGAGGTGAGAAATGGGTTTTTCTTTTAAATGATGAAACAGGAGCACTTTTGTTCATGTTATATTTTATATAGGAGTTTGCTTGATATTAGATACATATACTTTCTTCAAATATAATATATGAATGTATATAACTACAGTCTGTAGCTTAACAAGAAATTACTTAAGTTGGGGCATCTGCCTCCAGTGAACCTTCATTGACTCCATCTGTAGTTAGATTTCTTCTTTAAATTGTTAGAAAAATTCAATCATTAATCAACATATTACGTAGTCTATACAATATGCTCTAAAAACATGATCTACTAGCATTTTCCAAAAGAAAATGGAGATTATAATGAATGGAATTGTGGAATGCACCAACCACTCAGTTGCCTCAGCCACAAAACTATGCGTTAATTAATTATGTAAAAAGTAACTCTAGTATAAGGAAGATCATTAATAAACAAAGAAGATTAATATAAAACTTTACTATGACCAACCAGAGAGGGGAAAAGTGGTGTGTAAGTGCGCAAGCACGAGTCGAAGTGGCATTATTCTGGAGTCCCGATCGACCTGATATTTGTTAACAAAGTGATGAACATTGCATTGGTTACATATGCATATGCATATTGACATTGTTGCATGGCTTCCGTGACCTGTGATCACATCTGTTGCTTGTTGTTGAAGCCTAGCTACGCCTTCCATCTTGATTAGTTGCGATGAACACCACTCAGGCTCCTCCATTTCATGTGCCACACAAGCCTCAAAAGAATAAAAAATGTTATCGTCACTACATTTTGTACATCGCATAAGCAAAATTTACAATGTATATCTATACTACTTCTTCAGGGTGTCTTTGGAAGTGATTTTAAAATGTCTAAATCATTTTTGATGAAAGTGTTTTAGAACAACTCCTTAGTAAAATGCAAGTGAAATCCTAAAAAATCACTTGAAGTGCTTCCTGCAAGAAGAACCACATAACTGATGCTTCTTCCAAAATGCATGTTAAATGCTTTTGGAACCCAAAAAATACTTTCAATAAAAGTTCTTTTAATCATTTTGAAAAAACTTCCAAACGATCTATATCATCGATGTGAGACCTGTTTGTATTAGTGAGTCCTATATCGACGGAGCAGTGATGCAAATGTGATGTACAAAATGTGCTAATTAAGTCTAGCAGGTTACTCAAAGATAAAGTTTGGGATCATACCGACTAATTCTTATAAAAATTTCTAGTGCACATCAAAAGCACACATTTAAGTTACACGTCTAAACATAACATAATCTAACGGCTCTTGCTTAAATGTGGAACTTAAATATGCAATTTTGATGTATAGTAGGGAAAACTTCCTAATTCTTCTTACAAAATCTTTTGTTTTTGGATAATGCTTGTGTCCCAACCCCTTCTCTTGGGGAACTTACTTGCCCCTCACTTACGATTAACGAACTTTTATCGTCCGAACATCATAGTCGGAACTGTTCGTTCACTTTATCATCAACTAATTAAAGGTCATATCTGCAAACAATCATCCATACGTGTTAAACCAATTAACGGTTTTGGTAACAAGTAGCATCTTTATGATGAACCGTTCATTTGTTTGATGCGTATGAATGGCTCAGGATCTCCAAATCAAATCATTATATATATATATAATTCTTAAGTGATGATAAAGATAATGAATAGTTCTATATATGATGTTCGGACGGTAAAAGTTTGTTAACCGTAAATAGAGGGACAAGTAAGTCCCCTACGAGGGGGACACAAGTATTTTCATTTTTTATTGGGCCGAATTCCTTTGGTTGATGGGATTGGGTTGTCCACAATACCATTATGGACCGGGTTATTACTTGCTTTGAATAGGAATTTTTTAGGTGTGGTTCGGCCCAAAAACGAGTCAGAGGAGAATATGGAGATTCAAGCACAG